CACGGAAGTGATAGACGATTTATCATCGGACCGTTTTCCAGTACTGGCGCACTTGGAAATCTACAAGGTGGAGGAGGAGCACATTTCTAAAAGCACAGACTGAAAGTTCAAAAATTTCGTAAACATTTAGATCCCAAGCACTTATCCACTAAGCACCACAGAGTATGTTGATAACGCCATACAAAATATTACTGAACATTTAAATGATGCCTTCAAGAATGCCACTGTGTAAATAAAAACAAATAACGATTATTTAAAACTTCCCTCCTACATAAAAAGAATGATCGGAGAAAGGAACAGACTCCGTAAGCTCTACATCTATTCACGTGACTCAGCTGTTAAGTCACTGGTCAATAAAATGAACAGACAGATTAAAAAACTCATTGACGAGCATAGTGTCACCACTTGGAACCACGCGATCGACAATCTTAACGCTTAAGATGGTGCATTTTGGAAATACATCAGAAGGTAAAAAGCAAGCAAAACTAAAAACATGCCACTGAAAAACAACACTGAGCACTTATATACGGATGAAGAAAAAGAAAATGCTTTTGCTGACCACTTCACTGACCAATTCAAGCCAAACACAAACCCTTCTGGTGCTACTTTTATAGAATCTGTAAACAGCACTATCGAAAGATGGCTACTCCAACCTACCACACGAAACGTCCCTAATTTCACTGTCCCTGCTGAAGTAAACACCATTATTTCAAAATTGCATAATCGCAAAGCACCCGGCAAGGACAATATCTCAAATAAAATGATTAAAAATTTACCGAGTCACTACAGCCCCAAATTATGTGGGATTTTTAACGCCTGCCTGTATTTGATCTACTTTCCGACCGCATGGAAACATGCAGCGATTATTCTTATCCCTAAACCCTGGAAAGATTTTACACGGGTAGAAAGCTACTGTCCGATTAGCCTATTGCCAACACTAGGCAAAATTTCCGAAGGAATTATTTATAAACGTCTGGATTCTGTACTGAGCTCACTGCCTGATAAACAGTTCGGATTTAGAAGAGGACTCTCCACCACCATGCAGCTGGTTAGGATAGTGGAGTTTATTAGTTATGTAATCCATAAACATCAGATGACGGCGTTTCTTTTGTTAGACGTGGCCAAAGCTTTTGACCGCGTCTGGCATAATGGGCTTATTTATAAAATGCATCTTCTCAATGTCACTAGGAGATGATTCTATTAATTTATTTTTTTATCACCAATCGCACATTTGCCATCAGATACGGTAATTTTTACTCCCTCCTCAGACACATTCAGGCCGGCGTTACCCAGAGCTCAAATTTAGGTCCTCTCTTGTACCTGATTGTACCTGATGATCTCTTGTAACTGATGCAAAGCAACTGGTATTGCTCGCAAACTCTACCCGATCATCAATGTATCCTCAAAACTTGATCTCGCACGGAAAAAGCGTATTTATGCATCAATTCTTCGCCATGTACTCACGTATGCTTCACCGGCCTGGTGTACCGCATCTAAGTCTGATTTCCAAAAACTCCAAACATTCCAAAATATCTTCCACCGAAAAATCACGGGAGCTCCCTGGTTCGTCCGTAAAGAGAATTTACACAAAAATCTTAAAATCGAAGATATCAAAACGCACATCGGACATATTAACTTTTCAACAAAACGATCAGCAACGACACAGTTCATTTTGCCGATAACTTTACGTATGAACTCTTAGAAGATGATTTCAACCTCCGCCCACATGCCACCCATCTATTAACATTTGATATCTGATTCCTGTCCTTTGCACAGACACTTTTTAATTCTCATCTTTTCATATTCACAAAGGCCCTAAGGTACAATGTTGGTTTCACGTAGTAATTTCACACACAAGCATCATACATAGGACATATTATGACACTCTCACATCTCCGTGTTCTTGCAACACAATAATTACAGGCAAGGGCCTATATTTTTTCTCCTCCATCTAGTTCACCCATTAGTGGCAATCCAAATAAGGTCTCTACGCGTGGAATCTCCGTTAAGGGGCACCTGAGGTGATGGTAAGAGCGCGATGAAGTTCGCGCTGAGACCAGCCTAAGTAACAGTATCGCAGTATCACAGTATCACGAGCCTTAAACCAGATTATGTGACGTAGCACAGACTGGTTGCCTTGGCAACGCAGCTCGGCTTTAACCACTTATGCCCTTTATGCCCCCGTCTGAACACAGCCTTATTTGACCGTACTCCTAGTATTAGCCAATGGTCTTAAATAAGAACTCAGCGCCACACAGTTCTTCAATATTCTAGCTCTCAAGAAGTTCTAATTTTTAAATAGGCTATTACAATTTGGCCTCACTAATATTGAACTGAACACTGTTGTCAAGACGTTAACTAGCATACCCGTCACAACAGTCAGTGAAATCTTGAACACCGTTAATCTCGTAATGACATTATCAAGCATACCCGTGACATTAACAATGTCAGTGAAATCTTCTGTCTTATTAATAAAACAACTATTATCATGAATCTCGCCACACGCAAATTTATTTGAAAAATATAAGGAGGTTTCTCGAGCATTTTTGCCCCATGCACCCTTTCACCACTTCTAGAACACTCTCATTCTAACCCCTCTCCTTTCCAAAACTTGAAAAATAAGTATATACATGTATCTAGATTTATACGATTTTTAACGGGTTTTATAAAATAAGAAACAAAAAGTCCAGAAAATGTTGATAAATACCAAAACCTTTTTATATTCATCAACTAAAACATAAATACAGCTAACAAAAAGGCTCACCAGACCCCCCCCGAAACTATGAAATCCCTGTCGTTCAGCCGCTGATATATATCTATTATTAAATAATAAAGAATCTGTATGTATGCATGCATGTATGCTTGTTTCTCGTTATTATGGAAAACGGCTGAGTTTATTCTATACTTTGTGCGAGTCCAATGAATTTTTAATTAAGAAACTCAGCTATTTAAAAGCAAAGTGATGCCACTGCTGGAAATAAAGTGTTTTTATTTTCCGCTTGCCAATATGCTGTTATTCGGCAAAGCGTAAGATATTTTATTTTCAGTTTTAATCTCTCGGGTTTTGATTAATAAGTAAGAGATTTAAAGCCATGAATGCACTTCTTAATAATATATCGTTTTCCTCTTTAACATGGTTGGTTTAAATAAAAGCTGCATTTAATTCGTAGTAGATATAAAAGATTTTCCTAACGTCTTATCGTAATTGATTTTTCAAAACTTTGTTGCCTTAAGTTGCCAAAAAGTTTATTAAAGATGAATTTCATCTTCGCGGTATCATATTGTAATTTTAAAGAATTTAGATGCAATTGTTTTGCCTAGCTAAAACCATGCTACTAATTCATAGAGAAATTCGGTCATTAGGTTTAACACGTTCAGTCTGCTTGATATCCTACAACATTATCGTTCAGCTACTTTCTTAATCTTTACCGAAGATCATTGAGAAAGATTGGTCAAACATAATCGCTAGAGAGAAAAGCGAGTTTTACTGCACATATAGTTCATATAATGAATACTATAGAAAGATCATTGTGATCCAAATCATCGAATTCTTTAATTACAAACAAAAGCAAAATGAAACAATCATTGTTTGAGCTAATTTCAGCACTTCCAATGTATACTGAAAAATAGAATAACGTACTATAAATAACCTATAATATAAGGTGGTAAAGACATGTGACATCCGGTAGTCTGTAAAGCTTTGTCTTGCCACAAATATAACCGGATAACTCGGCGATAGTAAAGGCCGAAATGGCGACATAAAACAGACAATGGCGACAAAAAGTTTTAAAATGGTTTTTTTGGAGAGACCGACTATCAAAACCATTTGGAGATACTTGGTTAAAATACTAAAGATATCATAAATATCTAAATAATCTGTATTGACATGCTAAAAGAAGCATGTGAATACAGATTCTAATACTAGACAAAAAGCAACTTAAACTGGTATGTGTTTTGAATCAAATTCTATCAATTTCTAGGTATTTAGGCATAGATTTTTTTTCTTCAGAAGCAAATAATTTTGCAAAGGTTGGAATAACAAAAATCATATTTATAGTGAAATCAATAGGCAAAACAAAAAGAAAACTAACGCAATGTATCTAAGAGTAATGAACGGGGAAATGCTAAGATTTTAGAATTTCGAACGTATTGAGGAAGTAATTGGTAAATGACTTTGATCATAAATATTATATAAGACATCTGCTCTGTTAAATCACATTTCAAACTTTACTCATTATAACATTATTATCAACATTATTTAAAAATAATTTATACCAAAAAGTAGTAGAGTTGGAAATTTTAGCCTCTGAATGGAAACTGTCATTAATTGGGATGTCATTAAATGTAATTAGTACATTCAAGGCTTTTCGATCCATAATTAACATTATACCTTTTCGGATGCTTTCAAAACACGCACTCAATTATTTATACAAGTGGTAAACAACAATCTAAGGGAAATAATTTCAATGAATCCATTAAAGTTATTTAGATTTCGAGAAATACGCAGTTCTCCAATTAAATAAAGACGGTCATTTTGCAAAGTGTAATATCTGTGTCTCTTAGACCTTAATACCGGTTAAGGAATTATTCCTTAGAAACTGAAAAATGTAAGTAACAATTTGAAGGATGAATTGTAAAGCTCTAAAGAAGCATCTTCTCACATATTAAAAATAATTATCAGGAATGAGACATATAACTGAGCTGGTTCTGTAAGTTATAGAGGCTGGTGCTAGAAATGTTCAAATCCAAGGGATGATGAACATATTTTATGTTGGCATAATTATTTAAAAAATGGAAAAAAATATGCTTCCCGCTAATACTTCTCATCGTTTACAAACAATTATATTACGACATAACTAAATAAACCATACGTTGAAAGAACAAACCTGTGTTAAAAATTTAACGACTAAATGCCTTAAAATGGCATATAGCCTTATACGCATTATTTTTTCCATATGCTTATAAAATAAGCAAATAATTACCACACTCAATATGAAAACTAAATTTTATTTTATCGTTTATTAACAAAGGCTTCATTACTTATCATTTCACTGCTTACAGAAACAGACATTTTCACTTAACTTTCTGGGAACTTAAGGTTACTAATCTGTTTTTCATTCCATCAATGGTAGGGTACTTCTGTATACTAAGCCTGAACGTGTAACTAGATTTCCTTTATTTTTCACAGTATTTAAACGAGGTTTATGATAAGATAATGCGCGCCTCTTTCTTCGGCTTTTGGCCCCAGGTTTAGGTTTTATGTGTGCGTACTGTCTTTCAGATTCTGGGCAATCAGTGATTCCTTGCTGCTCGTTCGGTAAAGGATGCGGCATGTCAGAAACATCGAATGGTTGCGAATCACCGTCTACTTCTTGTTGATTGTTCGTAGGAGTACTCACTAAACCAGAGATTTCAAATGCTTCTGAACCGCCGTCTATTTCTTGTTCATTGAACGTAGTAGTACTCAGTAAACCCGAGATTTCAAATGGTTCTGATTTGCAGTAAGGTATGGAAGAAGTTTCGTAAGATGGACACACTTGAAGTACGACACGCCTCTTTTGGCTGTTTAAAATATCATATACAAATCTAATTAATACATTAAAAACTTCTTACTGTTTTTTAAGAGAACTAAACAGCTACACAATATTCAAAATTAGATCGCTCGTTTTTAAAAGGTTAACAAACATCTTTTTCCTTAGAAAATATGCAAATAAATACCTAAAAAGGTTGATGTAAAGCTATCTGTAGTTGCTGGTTTGTCTCGTATGTGAATTGTTGCTAGAGATTTAACTTGTTGATAGGAATTAATAACTAACTCGAAAAGAACAAAAAAAAATTAAAAGTGTTCGAGATAAAAATTGTTTAGAAGTTAAAACAGAATGAAACTTACTAATTATTATTTTAAAATTATTTACTTAGTTAATTTTTACGCATATAAGTAGAATTTCTTTCTGGCATTTTTGTTAATGTTTAAAAGAATATTTATTTAACAAATAATTACAATTTACTGTTACAGATTGTGAGATAATGTCTAACATAAAATGCGCTCAAAACGTAAATATTTCTTCTCACCTGAAAAATTAGATTTAAAACAATTATTTTAATGATGCTTAAAACTTTTAATATTTAGAAACTCAGGACCACTTACTTATGCTGAAAATATCATGTGGATTAAGAAATCATTTTCTATGCCTCTGCAGTAAAGGATTCATTTGCCAGCTTAGGAACACTTGTATCTTCCAGATACTGAAGTTATCTTTTTATTCGAATTCGTTGTAGACATTGAATTGTTATACAATAAATTAGCAGAATTTATTACGCATTTAGAAAATTTTAGGGAATTAAATTTCTCGAATCGTGTTCAGCATTTTGACTCATCTTACCCTGTGCTTGCTCACTGAATCAAATAATTAGGACCCCTGGAAGCTGTATTAATATTGTCACTTGCGTAAGAGTTCGTAATGGATTGAACGCACACAGAACATATGACAGATTGACAAAATTTATTTAAAAAATAATAAAACATTTCTGTAACTTCTACACAAAACAACTTGTACAGCTCTTCTAAGAATCATAAAGTACACTCAGCAGTTACTAATTCAAACTACTTAAGAAGGTAGAACAATACAAAAAGCCTCAACTGCTTAAGCTCGCACAGTGCTCTGAATTCTAGTCTGATATAAACTGAAAATGTTAATAATTTGATACTTTGTACGTATAATGACCTGCAACAGGTGATAGTTTTCCGTACTCTTGTTAGTTATTAAGATAGTACCATTAAGGCCTGACCTGTGATACGACCGTAAAGTAAATTCTCCGTAAGAGCTAAGACCTGACGAAGGGAGAATACTGAAGCTTATGCTCTCTCCGGTCTTATACAGTTTCCCCGTCTGCCGCGTCCGCAGAGAAATTTCCAAGACATTCGATTTCTCGAAATTGCTAGCAGGTGTATACATTTCACCTCTAGTTAGTTGCATAATAATTGGAGTCATTTTTAGCCGAAATGGGTGACAAAAATTAATCACCAAAAGGGTCGCCAACTTTGCGCTAACTGGTTAGATAATCATTTACTTTAATGTTAAAAGAATATACCTGTGAAATCCTATTTTTCGGACAATGTTTCACATTTATGAGACCTTTATTCATGTTATATTATACAAGAGATACTACAATTTACATACGATGCTACTAAAATTATTTACATTTGTATACAAAATTCGTAACAATATTATTGAAGGTTATTTATACAACTTTTTTTTTAAATGTTTAGCAAAAAAAAAAAAAAAAAAAAAAAAAAAAAAAAAAAAAAAAAAAAAAAAAAAAAAAATAAAAAAAAAAAAAAAAAAAAAAAAAAAAAAAAAAAATACATCTGTGGCTGTTCTTATTTTGGTGCTATAATAAAACAGAGCGTTGTAGGCGTAGAGCGTTAATAAGTTACTTCTTGGATAGCCTATTGCGTACTTAGTCTACACTTCTATTTGTGAACTTTATCGATGTTAATTTAACGTATGTGTTTTAAAGTGCTGATGATATGGTATAAAACAATGGATATTGTTGATAATAGAATAATTGTATTATAATTTTGCATCGTGTTTTCTGACTATAAATTTTATATCATCTATTTGTAGTAAATACTAAAAATTTTATATCATCTATTTGTAGTAAGTACTAAAAATTAAATCCCCTTAATACTGTATTTACTATGATCATGTCTGTTACATTTTGTGTGGATAACACCAATGAACGCTGATAATGATGATTACCTTTGATCGAATGAACTGCTTCATTCTCATAGTTTTACTAATAGTTTGTTCACTAATAGTTTACTAATAGTTTACTAATAGTTTACTCATAGTTTGTTCTCATAGTTTTACTAATACATAAATATGAGTCATTGTCTCATGGTTTACTACGACATAAATATGAGTCAAATTCTATTATTAATTGCTCCACTCAAGTGGTCTATCTGATGCATATAGTGCTCGGTTACTTTTTGCATTGAATTATCTGCCAAATTAACTGAACAGCATGAGAAAATAAATTCTTCTTTTGATTTTTAATTTAGTAATAGAATAAATGTTGTATATTATAAACAGACATTACTGTGAAGCTAAATGGTTGTAAGCTGTGCAAGTATCTTAATATGGCACTGCTATAAAAATGCACAGAGCATTATTTTAAAGGGTTTGGAACGTTGTTCCTTGAATGATATAGGTTATGTTCACCTTTCTAACTAGTATCTAAGAGGGCTATTCGGATGTTTAAATCGATAGTGAAGGCTAGTTACCTAAGAGAAAGGATACTTTTGTGGAAGACCTTTCGAAGGAAGCTGGCTGGTGTTCACATTATATATAGGTGAAAACATGAAAATACCTCATGCAGCTAACCCATTTTTCAAATAAGGGTTAGAATTCCTGGATTCTAACAATCGACCAAGCTACCAGTGTTCAGCGATGTAAGGCACTATTAAATAATAGAAATAGCAAAGATCAAATGAAAAATAACAATTGTAGCGCCACTGAACAACGTAGAAATCTAAGGCACAAAACTTGAGACAGAAATTTTAAAACTCACACTTAAATGGCGAGCAAACAATTATCCTACATTAAGATACTATGTAATCTATGGCATTAGTGACGCCTCTAATTACATTTGTCTAAAACAGTATTCTTAATTAACATTTTCGTGAATTTGGGAGAATTTCAGAGATTTTGCGAAGTAAATTCGCGAATTTCAGAATTTTTCTATTTTTCTTAATTTTTTGTAAATTATTGGATTACTTTTCGTTTTTTAAAAATTTTAAAGTAAGATGATGTGATTTTTCGTAATTTAGAAACGTATTACCAAACAGCAGACACTACTGTTAAAGAAGAAAATTTATGCTCATGTTTTATTTTATATAAGCATTTATGTAGTTTGTCATAAAAAAGCGCTGATTTTTACTTAAGCAGCATTTTTTGTTTAAAGTATGTCAGCATTGTTTTTATCAGTTTCTTTACCTAATATCACTCTGAATAATTGAGCATTTGTTGCTTTAAAATTTGATGCTATGGAACAGAGCTATGCCTCATAACCGTGAAAAACCACTACAAAAAGACGATATACATTCAGCAAATTTTGTGCAAACTTCGTATATCCTCTAAATAAAATTAAAACGGCAAATAATAGTTTCAGCAGGAACACATGTCACACACTTTACGGGTCAACAAATAAGACAAAGTCTTGTTTCTTGAAAGTCTCTTGAGTACGTGATTTTGTAGAGTCCTTAGGATTTTTTGAAGCACGAAACTTGAAAAATATGCAGCATCCTAGCCATGTCTCGAATCTGGACCTCTCGAATACTGGACAAGTGTGCTATCATTATATAATGAAGGCATGATGGAAAGAGAGAGAAAATACCTTATAATCTGACTTCGTAGTGATGACCAGAAATGGCTTGCGGGGTCTTGTGACTTTACATCCTGCAATATGTTTCTATGGGGTATTGTCAAATCGAATGTTTAGACGGGAACAAAACACAAAATTTGCACGAAATAAAGAGAGAAATTCAACATATCATCAGCAAAGCCAAAAAATAAGTTTATTAAAAGACCATTATAAACTTCATAGACAAAATTAACTGTCTTCCTAATAGGTGGAGGTAGACGTACGTCAGATATCGTTTTCCAATATTAACGTGGAGGGTACAGGAGCAATAATCACAAGAAATTTCTCGCTTTGACTGATTTATTGCATTTTTAAAAACCCGTGCAAGTTATGAGACACCCTATCTACTTATAAATTCATTTATACTACTATTTCATATATGATAAAACTTCTACTTGCAGTTTTAATGCTAATTAAGGGAAGCAAATTTATTGTAAAACTTTTACTACAATCCCAGAGCGCGAGTTTCTTGCAAAATCAATTATGCTAAGAAGACCGCAAAATTTTCATCCAAATCGTTTACAGCAAAACTGACTGAATTACTTCGTATCTGATCACCAAATTTTGCCTTTATTACCTGGAATGAAATTCCTACCTTTCTTATAATTATATATTTTATAGGCATAATTTTATTTATGTTAGTTTTAGATATTACTAAAACTTAAAATAAAGCTATAAATTATTAAGAAATGAGTATATTGCAATAAAATCACTCGGTGTTTTAAGAAGGATATTGTTGTAAGATCACATGCCACGTTGAACAGTACTCCATGCATTAGCAATTTGCTAGCCACGTGGATGATATTCAGAAAACATTATAGTTCATTTGAAAAAGAAATATTTTCTAGGTTGCGGGCATTATAAATATTCTGGTTTCAAATATACAATGACTCAAAAAATAAAAATATTCGTTTATTGATAGTTCCCAAAATCAAAAATTTTTGGAAGGACTGCACTGGAATTAAAAATCGACAGTTAAAATTCGTAAATTTTGGAGAGTAAAATTCGTAAATTTTGGAGAGAGCGGAAGGCAAGCCACGACTAGGATCTATCAAATAAAGAAACTTCCATCTTCACCGAAACTTGTCAGCTTTCGTAAATAATTTTGATTTAAATCCACTTTTGCCTGAAATTCCTAAAAGTGTTACTTCATAATATTTTTATTCCAATAATTTCCATAGATGCCACTGTAACTGTTTGCTCCGTTTTTATTACCTACAAATACGAATTTTATTTTTTCGATGGATGTATTTATGGATATGCTGAATAAAGATTAAGACACTCAGGATATATTAAAACTAGAAGATGAATAGAAGAATTTTATCTTACCGCGGGTATAGCCATGACCTTTCCAGATAAATCAAAATTGCAGTAACAAACCATGGATAATAGCGGCACGTGAGAAAGTAAGCAATGTATATAAAAATAGGATAACAACAAAGTGTGCAGAAGATGAAAGACAAAACCTGAAAAACAAAAGAATCCTCGATAAAATTTAAACTATGTTGAGATAATAATTCAGATTTAAATCTTCAAATCTTTTATGTAAACAGTTCATTCAGATTCGAAGCCTTATTCGTCAGGATAAAAGTAACTTTGTTTCTCTATACTTAAAACAATTCTATAATATATGTCACACAGTGGCGTTTTGTTAAGAGTTGTTTTCTAAATAATACTCTGTCCTGACTATAATCAGTTTACGCAGATTAAAATTCAAGAAACTTCACCTGATAGTTTCCGGTGGCTTACAATTAAATCGAGGATTTACGAAGGTTAAGTGTCCATTATTATCAACAATAACTGGTAAAACATTTGGCAGCATGCTTTCAAAAATGCATTTTCAGATTTAACTCTGTAGAGTAGAACGTCTGGTTTTATCGTCATATATAATTTATACATAGAAGAGAAGTCTTAATAACCTAGAGATGTAACGGGAATCAGTGTGTCCTCCGATGTATATAGATTCGTTCTAAACAGATCAACACTAGCTAAAACAAACGGCAAGAGTGTCTTCGCGCAATAAGGCATGAATTGCAGGATACGGATTATGAAGTTGCTTATGTGACCCCCGAAAGGCCTTAACAAGGCCTTCGGGGCTTGTTGAATTTAAAAAAAAGAATGTGTAAATTAAAAATAGGCTGTGTAAATTTTAAAAAAGAATTTTTTTTATTTCCACAAGGAATGACATTTTTGTATAGGAAAGAATTATTCTGTTCTAAGGGATATATGCTTCTAGTTAAAACGATTAACTCAGTAAAAATGTTTGCATGGGCGTTTTCGTGGAACAGAGAACAGCACTTTACCCGACGATGACAAACTGAAAATAAATACTGTGTCTACGAAATGAAGATTTATAAAAGAAGATGACTTATCACTATAACTAAGATCTAAACTCAAGATGTTAATACATAAAAGACTTAGGGCACACGCGAAGAAGGCATGCGAGCAAAACATTGTTGGTTTCCGTATTAAATGACATTAAAGTTCTTCGGCATAAGAACATTTAGACATTTATTGCCTTTTCTGAAAAGATCCATTAGTAAATTTCCTGATTACCTAGTTTGAAAAATCTTGTATTTTGTGCCCGGATTAACTTTGGCAGAAAAATAATTCTGATTAAAACTATTTGATTTAGGCAAAGAGCATGAAGGCTTTCTCCCAAGGCTTTATCCTAGTTTAGACAAGAGGTCTTCAGGGAATAGAAATCCAGGTATCGAAACCCTAATTCCTTGCTACCAACCTATTTGCATAAATTTCGCTTTAACGATTCAACAAATTTGAAGTACCCCCATGGCGAAAATACCCATCGATAGCAAAATTCGAACCTAGTCCCAAGACGTGGAAATTCGAAAAATTGCACTGACTACCATAATACACTTGAGGTTAAAGAAGAAATAGATATATGTAGTAATTTTGAGGTAAATTGACAAAAACACTGCCAAACTTTACAAAAATACTGTCTTTTGATAAGGGTTTATCTCTTGACCGCTCCCTTGAAATCACTAGCTTATGTATGAAACAAAGCCAGTCTAAGGTTCATTTTTGCTTACTTATCAAATTCTATAGGAGTTATTAAATAAAAGTTTCGTATTATTGATAAGTGTTATTATAATTTACATTTTTAACTTTAATAATAGAAAAATGAATACTTACCAAAAAAGAAATTGTTTTGAAATTCTGTGGTGTGTCATGACCAGTACATAATCCATGAAGCCAATTTTTGACAGTTCGTATGAACCAAAATACAAAAACTAGATAATTTACTCTGTTTAGACTGAGAGCTATCGCATCCATATAAATTTTCAAATCAGTTAATAAGCCATATTTTAAATAACGATGGAAGTAGCCATTTATATTATTAATATGCTGCGTTTAAAATTCCATAGTTAATAACCTATCCAGATGAATTTATTACATTTAATGAACTTTAAGTTATTATTTACGTTTATCAGAGACATGTTTCCAAAATTTCATAAACATTCTGTAGCATAATGTTAAACTGAAATCTGCTTTCATTTCTGTTCCTTGGTTAAAAATGTGTTGCCAAAGTATAAAAAAGAATAATATAAAACAATTATCTTTTATTTCGCTTTTGAAATTTATGTTTCGAATGCAGCAATAGTGAGTAGCGTGGAATAATTTTATTAGCTTTCTAATCTATCAGTAATTATTCATGGTTTAAATTGCACAGTATTATACATACTTAATAGTTTGGTAGTACGCGATTGCATAATGCTGGATATAAATTTTATGTGAAGCGAAACTGCAATTGCTGTGCGTAATGTTTAATTGATACCATGAATTTTGTATTAAAAAATTCGTGGAAATAAAGAGGCAATGAATTTGAGAAGCAGTTTATTTATTTGTATCTGAAGTGACTTTGTGGTTTTATTTCTTGGTTTCCCTAATTGTTTGGATCCAATTTTCAAATTCATTTTTGACGACCACTTAGTGACCTCTAATGATTCTTTCAATATTTTCACACGTATATTCTCTCGTTGCTAAGGCAATTATGTGCGTGCCGATTCGCAATGGGTTGGCACTTGAACCGACGATAGCTTGATATAATTTATTTCCTCAAAAGAAACATTTTACAGCTTGGGAACGTTTCATAAAAGTACCCGTACAGCTCTTTGCAGCATGACAGAGCGCAGTCAGTAGTTACCACTTCAAACTAAGAAAATTAAACACATTGCAATGGAAAGCGCATCTGAAAGGCGAAGCTCTACGGATATCTCTCTGATACTCGGAACTCAAATCTGAACTAAAAACTGAGGACTGATGCTCTCTTTTTCTCGAAATTGCAGGAAGACATGTACAGTTACAGTTCAGATAGGGCCGTATACAGTTACATATAGGATCAGACCAGTTATAGTTATACAGGCATCTGACCAAAATGTCGCCAAATAATCGCAACGTTTAGCGTCTTTTAGTGATTAACCGCCAAAACCATTGCCAATTTGTCGTGATAGTCATTTACCTTACAGTTAAAAGGGCATTTTCCTGTAGTCTTATTTTTCCTGCGGAGCTTCTTCCTCTTCAGAGGTGTTACATAATACAAGAAACACTATGATTTTACATATAATTTCGCAAAAATTATGTACATATATATATTGTTACGAATTTGGTATTTAAAAAGCTAATGTTAGTTCAATTATAAATTAAATGGTTTTATTTCTCGCGCAGTGCAGCGCGTGACGAATATTAAAAGAAAGCTAAGCCGGAAAAATTAAAAATACAAGAGCGCGTGCGTTAAATAAATAAATATCTCTTTTTGATTTCGAGAAAGTGCTGGAAAATTCTAGCGCGTGATTTTAAAAATCTTATAAAAGGAGGAAAACATCTCAGTTTGTGAGTAGTTGCTTAGTTTGTTGTTGTTTAGAAAACTGCCGTTGTTGATTATAGCGAATTCGCGGATTAGCGTTCTTTAGCTGTTTTGAATTACGTTCTATTGTACATTTAAGTAGTTAAAAGATAACTACTGTGAGATATTGTGATACTGCATGATAATTTGAGAAAATTTAAGCATTTCTGTTGTGATAATAATAAATTTTTGTTCATTTTTCATCGGACTTGTGCATTCATTTCATAACGAACCCGTACGCACGCAACAATTTTTGGTGTCAGAAGTGGGGTTTTGAATGCCAATCACAAGAGCGATGAAGAACAGTTAAAACAATTCATGGTAGCCTTTGCTACATTTAAAGAAGAAATGAAAGACTCTATTAAAGAAGAAATTAGGTCCGTTAAAGAAGGAAATGAAGTTGGGCCAGGAATCCGTTAAGGAGAAATGAAATTGGGCCAGGAAATCCGTTAAGGAAGAGATGAAATCTCTTAAAAAAAGATGAAAGCAGGTCAGGACGAAATGAAAAGAGAAAATTACCTGCGTAATAGAAAATAAATTTGAGGCTATGGAAGGCAGAATAGACGCGGTTGAAACTAAAGTTGGACAAATAGAAGAAAGAGTTTCTTCGGTAAAAGAACAAAGTAGAAGAAAGAATTTCTTCTGTAAAAGAACATATAGAAGAGAGAGTTTCTGCCGTCGAACAACAAATTGATGATAGGGTTTCTGCTGCCGTCGCCAAAGAAGTTGACAGCCTAAAGAAGTGCATAGCGACGGTAGGAAACAATTCTGAAGGTTTTAAATTTTTTATCCGATGCCTGCTCGTTCCGTTCTGAAACTATCTACATATGATGGGAAGACCTCCTGGCAGGTGTATAAGACACAATTTTCTATCGTGGCGGATGCGAATGGATGGGATTCCCAAGCTAAGGCCTGTCATCTCTCGCCGCTTCTTCTTTGAGAGCCGACGCAGCGGATATCCTGCAGACGCTTCCCGAAAACCAAAAGGCTAGATTTCGAAGCTCTATCCGGCGCTTGGGAGCTGCGCTTTGGCGAAAAGTGTTTGAAAAGACTACAGCAGGCTTCCAATAAAATCTCGTCAACAGAAGCCCACCGAAACACTTCAGGAGCTCGCCACGGATGTTGAAAGGCTGTCACATCACGCCTTTTCGGAGTGCCCGACAGAAACAAGAGAAATCCTGTCGTTGCAATATTTCATCGACGGCATCCGGGATCCTGAAATACAGAAAGCTCTTCGAATGGCAGATGTAAATGACATAAAAAGCGCTCTGTTGTACGCCATGAAGTTCGAGGCAGCCCAGCAAGCAAGTAGTAGAGTTCGCTACCCAGTTAGAGATGTGCGAGTCCATGAGCCAGTGGATCAACTGATGGCTCGTTTAGATGATTTAGCCAGACAAGTCGAAGCTTTGATACGAAGTAGGAGCGAGAAGAAAGTGGCTCCAAGGTGTTGGAGATGTGGTAGTGAAGGTCACCTAAGACGGAATTGCAGAACGCCCCAGGGTACGGAATATAAAGCAGATGATTTTACCAGACAAGTCAGTGGCTTGAGATGGAACAGAAGTGAAAAGAAACTAGTTCTAAAGTGCTGGAACTGCGGAGTTGAAGGCCACATACGAAGAAACTGCAAAACACCCCGAAGTACGGAAAATAAGACCATTTCCCAGCAACGACGCAGTAAACAAATTAGTGACCATATTGAGGAACGGAGGTTGCCAGATAATGAAAAACCTTGTTTTAAAGCGCTTAAAATTTATACAGTGAGTGGCAACAATAACGGACTGTCCATTAATGGGAATATCGATGGAGTTCCTTGCAATATGATCATTGACACAGGAGCTAATGTTACCATCATTAGGAAAGATTTAGCTGAACAGTTTAACTCTTTCGCATCGAAGTCGCCCCAAACGCCCAAACATTCAGACATCGGCTGGACGCCCGAAACGCCTGAATAATTTCCTACCCAGTGCTTTCCCCCATCACGTTACTGCATTACTCATTGCTTTCAGGTGTTGTTAAATCACATGTCAATCATTCTTTTGAAGTTGTTTCCTTTGTTCCTTCCTTTCCTTTGTTTACTGTCAGTGTTTAGCTTTTGATGCCCGAAGTTGCAATCCCGTCCCAAGGGAGAATTTCACATAGTGTCAAAGCGTCGAAGAAAGAAGTTCTCGCTTTACTTAAGTAAGGCTATTGTTAGCGCTGTAGTATTCAACTTGTCATGGGGGAAGGAAAAGCATTCCAGGAGAAATTCTTAGGTACGGGCGTTTTCGATGTTTGGGGAATTGAGATTTTGCCCTCTCTCGATGCGAAAGAGTTAAAGATAAACTTATTTGGACGCCATCCTGCCCATTACACTTCAGACTGCGTCTGGTGATAAGATCGACATTACTGGGAAGTTAAACGTAAGCATCACGTTTGGAAGTGCCGCCTACCATCACACGGCATATGTGGCGGATATCACAGATCCATGCATACTCGGATTGGACTTTTTAAGGAAATACAATTTTTCCTTAGACTTGAAAAACAACAAACTGCTTTCAGCATCTGATGGCATGACTATCCATCCTCAAAAAGGATCCTCGCCTGGAAATGCCGACGCCTTGTCCAGCTCGAGAAGCTGCCGAAATCATACTAGGGTCGAAAGAAACGCAAGACTACCACTATTCTCCATCCCAGATGCTCTTCGGTCGAGACCTTCGTCTGCCTTGTGACCGCCTGTTTGGTCGCCCTACGGATGCGCCTTCATCGCCTGAGGAACACATCCAAGATGTCCAGGCCCGGTTTGAAATGGCATCCGGATGACACCGTTCTGCACGAAAGCGAGTCAACTTGGCGACGGAGAAAGTGAAGACCAGATACGACACGCGAGCTACTAGACATAGATCCAACAAAGGAAACAAGGTGTGGTTGTGGAACCCGATTCAACGAAAAGGACTGAGTCCTAAATTACAGTCACCTTCGGATGATCCGTATACAGTGCTGAACAGACTAAATGACGTCATGGTTCGGATTCGTGAGTCTTCGAACTCTTACGACAGGTTAGCTCATTACTATGGCCATAGTACGTAATGTAAATAATTGTAAATAGTGTAAGACCATGGTCCTTTTTGTTTTTAAATGTATATTTGATTTGATTTGTAATTAGTATTTGATTTGCATTTAGTATTTGATTTGTATTTGAATTGTATTTGATAGCATTTGATTTGTTTTATTTATTGCATTTATTGTTCATGTTGTTTATTATTGTAATGTAATGCTTATTATTGCATTTATACCTTTAGTTGTAAGTTTGGCTTCCTGTCCAGGGATTGTACTGCCCGGGACGTGCAGTCCTTGGGAAGGGGGCAGTGTTACGAATTTTGGTATTTAAAAAGCTAATGTTAGTTCAATTATAAATTAAATGGTTTTTAGTTCTCGCGCAGTGCAGCGCGTGACGAATATTAAAAGAAAAGCTAAGCCGGAAAAATTAAAATACAAGAGCGCGTGCGTTAAATAAATAAATCTCTCTTTTTGATTTCGAGAAAGTGCTGGAAAATTCTAGCGCGTGATTTTAAAATCTTATAAAAGGAGGAAAAACATCTCAGTTTGTGAGTAGATGCTTAGTTTGTTGTT